TTCGCCTGCTACGTCTTCACGCCAGACCAGAAGACACCCCTCGCTCTCTCTCTTTTTCTCTCTCTCTCTCTCTCTCTCTTTCTCTCTCTCTCGTAAGTGGCTAACCAGACGACGTAGACGATGACAGAGTTTATGGAAATCTGTCGACGTCGCCTGCCACATCTTATTATAGACAACGTTGTCGCCGACGTTGTCGCCGACGTCGCCTCTCTGACGTCGCCTCTCTGACGTCGCCTCTCTGACGTCGCCTCTCGCAGACAACAATGGTCGTTGATGAGTATAAGAATAGCTTAATGAGTGCGAGCATGAGTGACGACTTCGACTCCAACACGTCGCAGACGACAGTTTCACGGCTGACGTGGACAGACGATAGCCAGCGGACAGACGAGATCTTTTTCTATCCGACCGCAACATTTAAATCGAAACGGATGAGACATTGTGTGCATGCGTGTGTATGTGCGTGTGCGTGTGTGTGCGTGCGCTGGTGGTACGTGTGTACGTGCATAAATGCGCGAGTGTACGTGTGCGTGCGTGCGCACGTGTACGCGTGCGTGTAATAGTGCGCGAGTGCGTTCAGTGTGCGCGCATGCCCGTTATTATTCGCGAACCGCAGTGCCTACACGTGAGCGACGTGCTAACCGAACCTATAATGGGATGCATTCTGACGTATAATCGCTTCTGTCGGACGGACTACGTTTAGTCCAAGGTAAACACTGAGCTCATAACGTAGAATGCGGCGACAAACAGCCGTCGGCGACGCTGGCGCGGCGCCAGTCATAAATTACGTCCAAACTAAGCCGCAAAACAACGGCGACGGCGCAGCAGCGGCGTGCAACGTAAAAGCTTTACGAGTCCCGTTATGTAAGCTTCCCCTTTTCATGCTTTTTTCCCGCGGCTCGTTCTTATTCAGGGTAAATTATGGTTCTATATAAGTTGAGGTTAACGGCGAACGCGGAAGCACTAAAACCAGCAGCGGAACAAAGGGAGCTGCGGAGTTAATATAGGATGAGATTATATTGCATCCCTCTTCTACCCAGGCTAATGAACCTGTCGACTGAATAATGAGTGGAAATTGTAGAGCGGTCGTCTATTGATAATAGGACTTGATTAATATCCGCATGGTTGTGTACGAACTAGAGCCAGGCGTTTCCAATCACTTACGTCAGCTAGATTGATGGCGCGAGCTCGTATGCACGCACACGCACACACAGGCTGAGAGAGAGAGAGAGAGAGATAGTGAGCGTCATTCGCAGCGTTTATCACGCTAAAGAAAGCGACAACGACATAAAGGAGATCCGATTAAGCAAGCAACGGCGGTCTATATATCATCACCGGCCTCGTCTAGCCGCGTCGGATCTCCGTTATAGCTCGTTTACCGTCTCGGAAGGAACCCGCGGCGGCCTGGACGGAGGCGTTTCATAGCGGAAGATATTGCCGGTGCCGACAGACACGCGCCACAATGGCGACTGATTGCCAACGGCGCTTTCTTTTCTAGTCCCTTCGCCGCAGAATCCGCGTGTGCGGTCGATTACCTACGTACGGACGGCGGTAATTTTACTTCTCTTATTCCCCGTAGCGTTGATTGCAGTTGCGTAGCTGGTACGTGCGGTGTTCCGCTGCGGCGCCGCTTCGCACTTCGCGCCTGCGGTGTTCCCATTGTGCGATAATCGGCCAGTTAATTCCGCTCCATTTTCCAAGGTTATCGAGTTTATCGTTGTAATGTGCTCCTCATTTTCTCTTCCTCCCTCCCCCCTCCTCCTCCCTGCGATTTGAATTATTATGCGAGCTGAAATGATGGCGATCGCGCCATTAACTCGTGATCGTAATGTCGATTACATCCTAGTAGTGCTGAGAGGGTCTATGTACCCCGGGGTACTGCCGGAACTGCCCTGTTACATTTTTTTGAGTATCTACTATGCCGGACCGTACCTCGCCTACTCCACTAACGAGTCTAGGGAGTCGCCTACGCCTACTCCCTAGCCCTAACCCTAACCAGAAACCGAGCCCTAACCCTAATCCTAACCCTAACCATATCAAATAGTGACCAGGGTACGTTCCGGTATACCGTACCGTACCCAGGGTACGTTCCGGCAGTACCCTGGGGGACATAGACCCTATGAGCCCTAGTAGTGTCGTTTATAATTTCTCGCTGGACTCTCATATGGCAAACCCTGTGTCGCTATATTTTTTGGTTCTTTCTCTTACGCTAGCTTAGAATCATCAAATTATTAGGCTGTGAAAGAGATCACACTGTAGTTGCTAAAACCTTTATTGTATTGGGTCCGTGCTTCTTAAACTGTGCATGTGGTGTCCGTATCCATAGGAGCGTGCGATCTTACTTCTAGAGATGACGGCTCGTTTAATTACAATGTTAGTAATACCCCATTCTACTTTTTGTGGTGTTATTTTCCCCTTTAGATACTATTGTTTTAGAATAAAAATAAATTGATAATATAATTTTACATATTTTACTATGATCTCCAATAATTGTATAAAGTTATGGTTTCTTGACAACATGCTCGACAAAATGTTACAATAACTAAAGGGGTTTCAAAAAAAGGTTATGGACCACTGCAATAGGAATTTGTTATAAATCGGGCGGTTAAGAAATGTTGAAACGAGAAATTCCGATATATATACATATTTAATTTTTATGTTGTCTTATTTAAATTCTAAAATCCTCGGCAGATTCTGAACAAGCGATCACAAATACGACCTCAGGCGCAATATGGAAAGTGAGAATTGGGTGAGAATCAATTCAGTGAGAACCGAAGCTCTGCACCAATTATAATGCGAGATTTTTTAGAGATACATTCCAAATACGTATGTTTTTTGTACGTACGTGTTAATCCATGTCAATATATATATATTGTGCATGCGCGGGTGCTCGCGCGCGCGTATGTACCCTAGTTAAGGCATTTTAGTTCGCAGTTAGTTTGATTGCTGGATTTGCTCAGCAATCAAACATCAAATGACACGGAAATGTATGTGGCAGTTCTGCTATTAAAACCGCATGATATGTCTTGGTCATTTACTATCTGACTAGTTCGTGAGTGAGACAACAAGCCCTGCCTATACTGAAAATGTCTGCGTTTAATGCAGGTGGCGACAGGAGCGCATAGTTCCGATTCGTGAGATGAGCTCTGGATTGTTCCCCCTCTCATGCTGCGACGTAGTAACTCGTCAGTAAATCGCAGTACGACTGCGACGCAGCGTTTCCATGGTTATCGGGTCGTAACTATGGTAATATGGAACATTTCTCGAAAATATTCATTTCATGGGCACGCATTAATGCTAGTAGTGCATTTAGATACAACCGGCATGAAAATTGGCTAGAGTGCATGCTTATGTGAGCTTTTAATGGATCCTTTGTGATGTGAGGTCTCCGCAGCTGTCTGGGAATTATTCTGTTTTTTGCCGGTATTTCCGAGGCCAATCAGACAATAATTGTCCGAGACCGCTCGATTACCCGAGATCTGCTAAGCGATGCAACGTTGTAAAGGAACTTCTAAAGCGCGATTGTTAGACTTGCTAGACGCCATCTTGAAGTGTGGGGTTTTCAACTGGGATCAAGTAAGGTACGGGTTCTCTTCTCAAATTCCACGTTGTTGTTCCAAACGTGCATATAAATCATGGCGACACGAGTTTAAAGCCCAGTGCAGTAGTACTGGCAGTTAAGCTGCTACCGCTTAGCGCCGCGAGTAAGAAACAGTAGATCGTACTCAATAACAAACACATCGACAGTTGAAAATCGTAATACCTTCTGAGTCTGCATGAAAATTTGATATGGTAAAATCACGCGCGGCTCATACATGCATCCCCGCGCGATCGTAATGGATGGCCGCCGGGCAGAAGACAAGAGGGTCGCAAGACAGGAGACAAGATGGCCGCGAGGAAGGAGACAAGATGACCCCGGGCAGGAGACAAAATGGCCGCGGGACGGGAGACAAAATGGCCGCGGAACAGGAAACAAGATTGCTACCGGACAGGAGACTAACTAGCTGCCAGGCAGAGGAAAAGGTGGACGCTAGGCAGACGACGAGATAACCGCAGGAAAGGAGAGACGTTGACCGCCAGGCAGGATACAAAGTCGCGGAGCAGGAGACAAAGTCGCCGCAGACGAGAGACAGCATGAAGACATCTTGGACATGATGACATCATGGATCATCTGACGACAAACATCATTCGGCGACACGCGCGAAATACGCCGACCCGTCCTTTCTATCTCGTCGTAGTGTTTTCCGCCGGTTGGCACACACACTGTCGGCGGCGGCGGCGGCGGCGGCGGATAACTCCGATTGCTGCTGACTGGCGGATCCTCAGTGCTACCGGCGCGGCGGCGTGTCTCGCGTTGCTGTGACATGGAGAGGGTGACGGCAGGCTCTAGCACTCGTCCTCGGTGCTCTCTCCCGGCTCGCCGAGCAGCAGCACGCTCGTGTCGCCGCTGTTCTGCTCCACCTCTCCTCCCTCCTCCTGTAACAACACGGTGAAGCCAACATCGTGATAACGCACACGCTGGCAAGCGCATCGCGGGACGGGTGTAGCGTGGTATATACATCCAACCTTACGGCAAGTCTACCCACTTTATATTGCTCATGTGAAATAACGGTTAGATCCCCATGTCTATGCGCAGTGCGCCGCGTATCATGTTGGACATTTCCTATTGTCACTGACAATCTGTTGCTGTATATCAAGCTTTAATTTAACTTTCTTCTTATGGTTCTGTAGTTGCGCACGGGACGCTGATAAGCAACTGCTGTTTTTTGCAAAGATTTCTGTGACAGGAACTGTTTCGTACAAAATGGCCGCTGGCATTTCTACAACCTCTCGCTGTGCAACGCTTTACCCGCTTTTACGTGCAAAAAGTCGAATCGCTTGAGTGGTTTTTTTAATATCTATCTAAAAAACTTTATATTGCCGAAGTATGTATTTCGCGGCGAAGTAATTACGTTTTATGCTAACAACTCGTCACAAAATTTTCGCATTTACGATTCGTTGCTAGAGAGCGAACTAGTCACTTTAGATCGGGACCGTAAAACGAAGCCATGAAATTATATATATATACATACACACAATACACATACGCTCGTACACACACATAGGCCTACATGCACATATAAGCAAATAATCTCAAAGAGCTCTCTTTGAAATTATATACTCTTGATACATATACATATATACACATATGCAGAGGGAAACGCGTCATGTCGTGCAGCTATCACTTAATAATGCAAGCACGACAATTTATTCTAATTATTCCGTCTCCGTCGGTTGGTGAACAACGGTAATTAATTGCAGGTAATTATACACGCGGTTCCGCCTGGATCGGTTTCGCCGACGGCAAGGGGATTAATGAATGATCAATCATCGATTAATCACCGTCGTCAATCCGAGTAGATTTTTGCCGCGACTGCGTTGGGGGAGGACGGAGGGCTTACGTTTATGTCCGGCGCCTGAGCCATCTTGAATGAGACGACGGCGCGGATTTCTAACGTTAATATATTCCGGTTCGGTCCCTGGCTGCACTATCTGATGATCGAGTAAGCCCGTGTAGCGTTCGCAGGAACAACGCGGACAGCTTAATGTGAATGGCACGCGCTATAGACGCCGATACAGAAGTGCCATTAATCATGTGACATCTTCACCACATGCGCAGGCGTGACGCCACCCAGCGGAAGCGATGGTGATTAAATACTTACTACAATGCTCTCGCGTCGTTCGGGAACTTTGCTCTGCGAGTTGAAATGGCGGATGGCCCACAAGAGCATGACGAGGAAGAGGGCCGTTGTCAGGCCGACGGCAACAGGTACGACAATGTTCAGCAACTCCATCTTGCCCACCTGCAATAGAAGCACACGCACATTCTTACTACACTTACTTACTTTTCTCTAGTTTTTGTGGTGAATCCTACCTCGTTTCTGCTTTTCCACTAAGTTCTGACCACCTTCGGCATATTGAAGATTCTGTCAGAGACCGCTGGCGTATTACACCAGGCTAAATCACACAGTGGGTGGTTGTCGCAAGGGTGTTTTACAACTCATTTGGAAATGGTGACGAGCCTGCTATTTTACGTAGTCATCTAAATCATAAAGGGATTCACAGTTCCTAATGTTGAGAACCGATGTTTTACACACTAAGAACATTCAGTGTCTCGGCCAGGAGCTTATCACAGTTCACCAAGTAAAAGGAGGTCACACTAACGACTAGACCGCCGTAGCTCTCTCTCTCTCTCTCTCTCTCTCTCCCCCCCCCCCCCCCCCCCCCCCCCTTCCCCCCTCTCTCTCTCTCTCCTCTCCCCTCTCTCTCTCTTCTCTTTCTCTCTCTCTGTAAGTGCTAACGCAGATCGACGTAGACGATGACAAGAGTTTAATGGAAATTGCCGACGTCGCCTGCCACATCTTTATTATAGACAACGTTGCGCCGACGTTGTCGCCGCGCTCGCCTTCCTGACGTCGCCTTCCGACGTCGCCTCTCTGACGTCGCCTCTCGCAGACGACAATGGGCGTTGATGAGTATAGAATGGCTTTATGAGTGCGCGCATGAGTGACGAATTCGACTCCAACACGTCGCAGACGACAGTTTCACGGCTGACGTGGACAGACGATAGCTAAGCGGACAGACCGATCTTTTTCTATCCGATCGCAACATTTTAATCGAAACGGATGAGACATTGTGTGCATGTGTGTGTGTGTGCGTGCGCTGGTGGTACGTGTGTACGTGCATAAATGCGCGAAGTGTACGTGTGCGTGCGTGCGCACGTGTGCGCGTGCGTGTAATAGTGCGCGAGTGCGTTCAGTGTGCGCGCATAGCCCGTTATTTATTCGCGAACCGCAGTGCCTACACGTGAGCGACGTGCTAACCGAACTCATAATGGGATGCATTCTGACGTATAATCGCTTCTGTCGAACGGACTAGCGTTTAGTCCAAGGTAAACACTGAGCTCATAACGTAGAATGCGGCGACAAACAGCCGTCGCGACGCTGGCGCGGCGCCAGTCATAAATTACGTCCAAATCTAAGCCGCAAAACAACGCGACGGCGCAAGCAGCGGCGTGCAACGTAAAAGCTTTTACGAGTCCCGTTATGTAAGCTTCCCCTTTTCATGCTTTTTCCGCGGCTCGTTCTTATTCAGGGTAAATTAGGTTCTATATAAGTTGAGGTTAACGGCGACGCGAAGCACTAAAACAGCAGCGGAACAAAGGGAGCTGCGAGTTTAATATAGGATTGAAGATTATATTGCATCCCTCTTTCTACCCAGGCTAATGAACCTGTCGACTGAATAATGAGTGAAATTGTAGAGCGGTCGTCTATGGATAAAGGACTTGATAATATCCGCATGGTTGTGTACGAACTAGAGCCAGCTTTTCAATCACTTACGTCAGCTAGATTGATGGCGCGAGCTCGTATGCACGCACGCCACACACAGGCGCACACAGCCGACACGCACGAGCAACACGCACACGCACACGCACACGCACAACACACACAACACACAACACACACACACACACACACACACACACATTGCGTACATGCGATGTGCTGGGTGCCGCCGCCTGCA